GGGCACCCTTAATTCACAAAAAACCCTACAAAAATACGGAAACCTGTTTTTGACAACCTATTTCATATTTATGCAATCTATTTTCATATCCAGAATAGCTCGAATGATATAACAGCTGACTATTAACACAGCTGGTACATGGTTCGAATCCATCTTGTGTTACACTTTTATAGTTTTAAATTCTCGCCTTTTCAAAGACTATTTTAATTGTTTATAGGGGCTTGAGTATTTTCCTTCAGTTAAATCTATCTTTTATGTATGTTCATTCTTGATATAAAAGACACTAAGGAGAAAGCGAATCGTAAATTCTATGGTACCTAAAACACAGTCAAGCGGAACTATGCTAGCACACTTTCTTCGAGGAAAAGAATTGTTCACTCTGTGGTACTATATATACTATATACAGGTATTCTCGTCTGCAATGAGCTGTGATGAGATTTCTATCATATATATTTAATTTAATTCCTTAAAATTTAATCAATTCAGTGCATTGCATTGCTTTTATTCCATCTGTACTTGTACTTGTCTGGGTAACAGCGCTGGAAAGTATACGTATGGCGTGTATAATCTGAGCTTAATATGAAAAAAATATATAATAAAAAAAAATATATAAAAGAAGATTGCTTGTATGTTGTTTTACGTCCCGTTTGAAAAATTTTCACTCATATAGAGACGTCACCATATACCGGCGAAGAGCTTCAAAGAGCTAGGTTCACTTTATGCATGAAAATGGCCCTGTAGATATACCAATTTATTGACTAACACCTTATGTTCCATTTTAAACATCAAGATAAATTGGAGACTTAGTGCTTTCATTTCCTATTAAAATTTTTCTCCTTAAAGTCCAGGTCTTGGAAAACAAGCTTTATGGAATTGCAATGTTCTTGAATTTTAAGGAAAACAGGTATATTTAAGTACTTTCAGAGAAGAAAAATAATATGAGCGCACCCTATGATCTAAAAAATAAATCATGTTTTGTAATCCTCAGAAACAGTTTTATCAGTAAATAATTGCATATTTTAGATCAGAGATTGCGCTCTATATCAAATATCGAAAAACAGCTTTAAAAATTGGCTGTTTTTGTAGAATTGTTTAGGATACGAGGAAAATGACGCATTTCATGACATCATAATGCATTGATAAGCCAGAAAATTACGTCATTTTTGTAGATTCGCAATCGCCAAATGTCTAAATGAAATTTAATGCATTGTCAACTAAAACTAAGCAGTTTCAGTTTTGCAGAAATTCACAGGGCCAAAAAAGGCCCTAAGTGAACCTTGTTCTTTAGACCTTTACTCGGCATTCTAGGCCATTGAGCAGTGAGGGTTCTTTATCGTGCCAACGCCTCAGTTTTTAGGGTCTCATCCGAAGAACCCGCAACTTTCACTTCAAAATGCCGAGCGCTTGGCGAAGGAACAGTTGCTACCTATTTTTTATCGACTTAGGTCAGTCGCGGCCGTGATTCGAACACACGACCTTCCGATCACGGAGCGAGCGCTCTACTACGGGAGCGTATAAGTGCCACTTGGACACTTTTTTATTTTTCATTTTCCACACTTTAGTCTGTAAATTTTACACTTTAATGTGTAAAATTTACTCTTTAATGTGTAAAATTTACACTTTAATCTGTAAAATTTACACTTTAATCTGTACATTTTACACTTTAATCTGTAACATTTACACATTAAAGAGTAAATTTTACACTTTAATCGGTAAATTTTACACTTTAATCTGTAAAATTTACACATTTAACTGTAAATTTTACACATTAAAGTGTAAATTTTACACTTTAATCTATAAAATTTACACTTTAATCCGTAAATTTTACACATTAAAGTGTAAAATTTACACTTTAACCTGTAAATTTTACACATTAAAGTGTAAATTTTACACTTTAATCTATAAAATTTACACTTTAATCCGTAAATTTTACACATTAAAGTGTAAAATTTACACTTTAACCTGTAAATTTTACACATTTAAGTGTAAATTTTACACTTTAATCTGTAAATTTTACACATTAATCTGTAAAATTTACACTTTAATCTGTATAATTTACACTTTTATCTGTTTAATTCACATAATCAATTTGGCAACTTCATACATCTTTTAAAGTAACACGCCTTAAAGCCAACAGACCATGAATCCTGCATGATAAAATTTAATTTTAATTTCTTACTTAATAATAAACGTGGAAAATACATGTAATTACTTATTAGATATTATATGTATTGATATAATACAAATAATAAGCAATCTAGTATCACTGATATAAGTGAGACTTTCATAGAATATTTGAAAGAATTATGAATTCAGTGGACGTGAAGAGCAAAGCAAACACACAAATCTCAATGAATATGATACTGACATCATTATACACAAATTCATTTCATGCGCTCGGCAGTTCAATTATTGATAGCATTAATTGAATTACATTCAACATTTATTACGAGCACCACTTGAATTACTTATTGAATTGAAATTTTTAAATAACCAATTAATATATTAATTATTAAAGTATATACATGCAAATAATTAAAGTGTGTGGTTTTATATTAATTTTGAACAGCATAGAAATTAATATCCTTTGATTCAATGATGTTTCTTTATTGTTACGTTCTAAATCACCGTAATTTTAACTTTTATATTTTACATCATGATCATAGACCCATAAACTTGCAATAGCAATCTGAACTGCAAATGAGGAGAAAAAAATATTTGAGATAAATCTTTTTTACTGTTCGTCGCTCTTTACTACGGTACTAAAGAAATATACTGGATTGAAAGCAGATTCCCAATATTTTGCTGGAGAAAATTACGAGGCCAATGGGCAAATCGCCCATCCTTACTTATCATATACATGTATGAACTTTTATACAAACACTTGTGAACATCTCAGATTTATACTATTCTTCAAATGTCATAGGTATAGAATCCATGAAACGACCGTTCGATTATAACAGATTACAGTATAAGTTTCTTCTGATTAAAGTGTAAATTTTACACTTTAATATGTAAAATTTACAGATTAAAGTGTAAATTTTACACATAAAAGTGTAAAATTTACAGATTTTAAAAGCGTAAATTTTACAGATTAAAGTGTAAATTTTACAGTTTAATGTTTAATTTTTACACTTTAAAGTGTAAATTTTACAGATTAAAGTGTAAATTTTACAGATTAAAGTGTAGCTCAGTCGGTAGAGCGCTCACTCCAAACCTCAATCACCAGGTTGACCTCCAAGATGGCGGCCAAGGGAAATATACGTCCTACTAAAACTATCTATAGAATCATTATCGGCCGCAGGAGCGGCCAATCTATTTGTGGTTGTGTTAGAAAGTGCACATGGAGATATGAGATGTTAAAACATTGCTGTGACGTCATGCCTTTGTTCTTGCAGTCTAAAAATTTACCAGTAGCCGTCCGATAATAATAATTAGCAGTCCAATAATATATTATCGGACGGCAGTGATAACAAAATCAGAAAGTAATTAAAACACAACAACTAGAGTGAAATTAAGGTTTAATTTGTCCAGAAACCAAAAAAAAAAGTTAGGGAGAAAAAATTCAGGGAAAGAGAACGCGAGGAAATTAAGTTGTTAAAAATAGCAAATCCAAGAAGAAACTGGAGTTTTAACCTTCCTCAAAAGTAACACTTCCCATTCCGTTTTTTGCAAAGCATTTTCGATACAGCACTGTGAATAAGCCAATATAAATCCATTTCTGATAAAGAACCAGTCTGTGAATCTCTTCATTTAACGGAGTTTGTTCGCCAATGACCGCACTTTTAAAACACAAGATTTTCATTATATCATCCAATCAAAATTTTAGAATAAAAATCCGCATTTTTACTTTAAATGCATTTTGAACATATCATCCAACACTGTATCTGTATCAATGTCAAACGCACTTAATAAAAAAAAATATTTCGAATCATTAAAAAATCCTTCATCATCTAACCACTGTCCATAATTCCTGCTAAGCCAAACGGCTGCCATTGAATGAATGAAACAAAAGAGTTCACTCACTGATTTTACTGTCTAAAGAAAAAAAACTTTCTCTTTTCTTTTGTCTACTTATTAGATGGTTTCAGGTAGAAAACTATTGATGCCTGAACTCCTATTGTGTAATTATCGGACTCCTCCAGGTAACTTTTGGACATTTAAATAGCAATGTTTTAAGTAAGATATATGCCTCATACAATTCTATATGTAAAATTATCAGATTGTTTTCGGCCCTAACGGGCCTCAAACAGTCTGATAATTTTACATATAGAATAGTATTCGGCATATATGTAATGGATATATGGCATCTAAAGCTTGTGACGTCTCTAAAATGTGTTAAAAATTCACGAATGTGATGTAAAACAACATATAATCAACCAATCAATCAATGCTCTTTAAATAATTTTTGCGGAAATTTTGTGACAAAATTATTACATACACATTTTTAATAAAATAGTACTCAGGTATGCATTCATTCCGATGCTATTTTCACTCTAGGTAGAAACAGCTTAAACGTATATATGTAATGCCTGGGCATGAACAGACCCCCTTTTACCGAATTAACAGAATGTAATATTTTAGGTTAATTTGCCATGCCAAAGAATGGTCGTCCAGTAAGTTCCAGCTATGTGACCGGGAACGGTATTTTTCGATAATAAATATTCACGAAAACCTTTGTAATGGATATTTCCTGCAATAAACGAACGTATTTCGATGTTTTTGTCATAATGAATTACTTTTTTAAATCGACTGTTAACAAAGTCACATCTCAACTATATTTTCAACTCAAATCATAGTCGGCTGCCCGCTTGGCGGAATGGATAGATCGTTTCCTTCAAGGGTCACGGAGTAAGGTGTCGATCTTACGTCGGGGTTCGAATCCCATTGCAGGACATGTAGACCGAACTGTCTGATGAAATTGTTTAAACAGAGTTCTTGTCCCATGTCATAGTTAAGTGCTGTCACAAAAAAGCTTTGCTCAATGAGTATCTATAATCTTAATTTTCTACATTGGCAGTGTCCCAGCAGGAGTGAATAATTCTAAAAGGGACGTAAAGCAAATAAAACATCAACAAAACACAGTCAAAAGTATGCAACTAGAACGTATCACTTGTACCATACGTGAGCATTTTTTTTAAAAAGCTAGTTGTGTGACCAATCCGCAATTCTGCGTATATTTTGCAAGGAAAAAATACTAGGCCCACTAATGTATTGGTTTCTCCGCCAAAATTTAGGTGATTATGATAAAAATATTCTTTACAACTTATATCTCATGCGAAAAGAAAAGAATAAGTTAATTAAAATGCAGTTTCATCGATTATTCTCGCTATATATCAGATAAAAAGGGGTAAGAATGCCTAGAATATGTTAATAAAATCTTTGTACAACAAGTCATGGTATCTTGATAAACATTCAAATAGTACGAATCTTCTTTTCGAAAAAGTCATTTTTCAAACCTTCTCAACCATCTTTACAGCTTAATTCATATAATAAAAAACGTAATATTACGGATGTCACGCTTTTATATCATTCTAAAGTTGCTATTAAACTAGGTTAACGGTATATTTTATCATAACACCTTTCTAGTTTGTAAACAATAAAACAATCAAATAATGAAAGACTTTTCTTAATGATATATAATTTGAAATAAATATTAACGTTTAAAAGCAAGAAAAGATCTCTTCCAAATTTTTAACATTTTGTGTATATCCGAAAACAAAATAGGTAAGTCAATTATTATAACAACAGAGATAACAAATATGATAATAATGGCGCCTATATATCCTGCCACAACCGCAGAGTCCCGCTGATCAGGCGCACATGTCCGTAAACGTTTGATGGACGACAGGTTTTTCTTTTCCATCGTCAACTCATTTCGAATTTCCAGAATGCTGCTGTCCAAGTTTAAGCGATGGAGAAGTTGGTTGGTTTCATTTTTCCAGTAGTCTACCTTGGCTTGAAACTCCGCAGAACAACAGCAGTTCTGATCTGAGTAAAAATTAAACCATTGGAAGACATATTTTGTTGAGTTTGTAAGAAATGTTAAATCTCATTTGGATTTGACGTCCCACATGAACTACATGTTAAAATGTTTTAAGCATTGTCTAATTTAGGATGTAAATAAACTATAGGCCTATGAAATAACCTAGTTTCCTCGGTTACAGGATGGTGTGTTTTGTCTATTGTGTGTTTTTCTATGTCTGTCTAAATACACTATAATGAAAATAAAAATCGACGAAATTAGCAGTTTAAAATAAAATACCTATTTCTGTATATAAAAAGACACAAGGTTCGCAACTAGCCATCTTGGATTCCAAGGGGTGCCTTGGTTGAAGTTGGTTCACACTTGATTTTATTCAATATATACACGTTTCCTACCGTTGGCGGGTGAGATCTAGCCTCAATAATGATTGAATAACTCCCTTCTATCGTCTACTGATTTGCACTTGTCGTATAAAACATGCAGTAAACCGAAACGTCCTCGATATCTAGCACTGAAATGAAATATATGGAGATAACGAACAGTATTCAAGCTCAAAAGTCCATTAAACAATACAAATTATTGAGCAGAGCAAACACGGACCTCTAAAACATCAGAGGTGGGATCAGGTGCCATGGAGGAGTGAGCATCCCCTGCCGACCGGTCACACCCGCTGTGTGCTCCTTTTCATGATCGTGAAATAACGGAAAAATCCGTCGACAATTCAATGTGTAAATAATGGCCTAACAATTAGTGTGAAAAACGTCAGTCAGCATTTGACTTAATGATAAATTGTATTTGCTATCAATGTCATTGTATCGACCATAGAACTTTACGAAATAACGACTTTAGACGAAACTGTTGATATCCTTGTTTCATCAACTTGTTTGTCAATAACTTACCTCGTTTTAGAAATTATTCATAGATTACGTAGAGCATGCTCTTGCGTATCGAATCAACTGAGAGATATAAACCCCGTATGCAGGTGATGAAGATATATTGCTGCATAAGTAAGGGAAGTTGACGATTGAAAAGTTAAAGTCATCACGTTTATCATAAAGCTTGGTTGTAAGATTACCATTAACGTCTGAAACTGTAAGCAACGGAAGTGATGATTTCTGACTATGTAAATTGTAGAGGCGTCCCGGAATTGCAGGGAAAGTCTAGAGAACAGATTCTGACCTCTCGAGGACGTTTCGGTTTACTGTAACAAAAGCAAGAGTAACGGAAATATCAGAAATGGAAAACCCTCGGCTGTGAAGTACGTAGGCGAAGATGGAACTGAATATGACAAATGCTCAGAAAAGAAGGCAAGGGTGACTTTTAAATAGCCTTAGGATGGCAACCAGAAGGAAATCAAGCAAGTGGAAGACCAAAAATCACCCGGAGAACAGTCAAAAAAAAAAGGAATGCAGCTGCATAGTTGGCCTAGTTGAATGCCACCAAAACAGCAGCTAGGGACAGAAAGAAATGGAAAGAAAGCGTTAAGGCCTTATGTTCCTTTTGGCGCGGAGAAATAACAAAGAAATGTGAAGGCTAATGAGAACATACGGTGAAGTAAACTTTAATTGATAGAGTTACTCGTTATATTCGATAATTAATAAACAAACACCACTATAATACAGAATTTGACTTTACTGCAAATGCCCATTTATCTATAAAATTCTAATATATATATATATATATATATATATATATATATATATATATATATATATATATATATATATATATATATATATATATATATATATATACACTGTATCTATCTATCGATCGATCGTTCGTCTGTTGCAGATGAAGTTGCTCTAAAATCGAAATTCTTAATGTCTTTTTTTGTCCCCCGCTTTCGCGAAAGCGAGGGGACATTAAATCTCATTTGTCTCTCAGTCTATCTGTCTGTCAGTCTGTCCGTCTGTCAATCTGTCCGTCTGTTTAAACTTTAACCTTGGTCATAACTTTTGAATGAGAAGAGATAGGGCTTTCATATTTCACATGTACATTACCTGTGATAAGATCTTTCTAAATATACTTTGATTTTTGACCCCATGACCTTGAAGTTTGACCTACTTTTCAAAAATTTTAACATTACTTTAAATTGGTCATAACTTTTGAATGGGAAAAGATTGGGCTTTTGTATTATACGTGTTCATTACCTGTGACTAGACTTTTCTAAATGCACTATCAATTTTGACCCCGTTACCTTAACCTTGAAGTTTAACCTATTTTTCAAAAATTTAATGCTTGCTTATAACCTTTAATTAAAAAAAGTAGGGTTTTCATATTTGACATGTATATTACCTGTGACAAGACCTTTCCAAATATGCTTCCAAATATTTTTGACCCCCTGGCCTTGAAGCTTGACCTACTTTTCAAAAATTTAAAATTACTTTTAATTGGCTATAAAATTTGAATGAGAATTAGAGTTTTCATCTAACACAAGTACATTACCTGTGACAAGACCTTTCCAAATGTACTATGTTTTTTTTTAATCTGTGACCTTGACCTTGAAGTTTAAACAGTACTGCTTTTCAAAAAATTAATCTTTACTTACAACTTTTGATTAAGAAGAGATAGGGCTTTCATCTTTGACATGTACATTTCCCGTGGCAAGACCTTCCCAAATATACCATGTTTTTTGACACCTTGACCTTTGACCAAGACAGTTACAATACGCCATAAATAATTGCGTCCCATCCACTAAGACAACGAAAGCGGGGGACTACAATTCTTTGAATTTACTTGTATATCATCACAGAGAAATCTTGTACAATCTTATTCATCAATAGAAAAAAGACCTGCAGTTTCTGTAGTCGTTGTTGAGTCTGTAGATTTTTCTGTATTCGTAGTAACAGCTGGTACTGCATTTGCTGTTGAATTCGTACAGGTTTGATCTGGAAGGAAAACTTAAATTGTCGAAATCAATCAATCAATCTTATTCGAAAATACTAGGCTATGCTCTTGGTTCCTTTTGTATTATTTTTTTTGCATTAGTATTATTCTAAAGGGGGGTGGGTGGTCATGGTGGGTGATATTTTGTATCTTTACAAGACGTATGAGATTTAAGAATGTTTAGAATGTTTTGACAAATCTAACAAATTTCCAAGAACAATGGCTGTAAATTACCCTATCGTGTCTTTCGTGTTTCCAAAATTTCTTCAGTTTAAAAAAAAACAATCTAACTTTATCGTACAAGCAGAAATCGTGCGATAGGTTTGGGAGGTAAATGGTTTATAAAAAGATAACAAAAAAACCCACTGAGGACAAAATTCGAAAGAAAACAAAATATAGACAGAGAATACTCATATAGATCAATTGGGAATATAACTTTATTCCGTGAAGAGTACCCCCCCCCCAACATCATTGGAAAGAAACATAAATAGCTTACCTGATAGAGTACTTTGAGAATCACTCATATTTAAAAGCTCTGAAATCATTGAAATATAAATTGTAAGGCATTTCTGATGGTCAGCATAACATTTAAATATTTATTTCACATGTCTAACGATAATGCTTCAAAGTAAGACTGTTGTCCTGCTGTTTTCATCAGAGCAATCGCCAACAATGTGTTAAGTAATTTATACATTGTCATTTAAGTTTAAAATATATGCACAATGATAAAGGAATAAAAATAAATCTGAATGCTAGCAAAAGGTAAACACTTACTTGATGAATAATATTTGTTGGGACAACTTAGGAATGCTGACCCTATAAAATAAAAAAGTAGTAAAGTACAACAAAAGACTTTTTTAAAAATAAAAAACGGATGTATCCTTTGTCCATACTACCACTGTTTGTTTGTTTGTTTGTTTGTTTGTTTGTTTGTTTGTTTCTTGTTTAATGTCCCTCTCGAGAATTTTTCACTCATATTGGGACGCAACCATTGCCAGTGGAGGGATGCAAATTTTAAACCTATACTCGGCACTTACAGTCATTGAGCAGTGAGGGATCTCAATTTTTCGTGCCAGCACCCACATGTACTGCGACACGGAACCTCGGTTTATACGGTCTCATCCGAAGGACCGGTCTCCACGTCCCGCAGTGGGATTCGAATCCGCGACGTGAGGATCAACTCCTTACATCGCGACTCTAGAGCAAACACTCTAAACTGATTAGTTATGCTATTTAAAATATTTATATTAATCTTCATTCATATCTAATTTTTTTGTAAATAATTATAAAGCCTTGAATGCATACCTGTACAGACACAGAGTTTACTGAACGATATTAGTGTAGAATCAATGGTTTGAGCGATTGATAAATTTGTTCTCCTCCATTTACCATCTTTACAGAAACAGAACTCCGTGTCGTCACATCTTCCAGCGATATATTCTGGGGAACAACCACCAACTAAATCAGCAAAAAGTGAATCTATTAGAACTCTTGAACGGAAGTGAATTTTCTAATAATTTCAAATATGGTGTGTGTTTGTGTGTGTGTGTGAGGGTGAGGGTGTGTGTGTGTGTGTGAATCAACTAGAATGAAAGATTAAAAACTTGAGATTGAAAAGTATACTGTAAACAAATTCTTGAATTTTCAGTATGACGTGTTTGAATTTTAAATAGTATTAATTCAAATGCTTAAGTTTTGGAGTAATTTGCGATATATATGAATTACAGATCCATTGATTAAGGAAGCTTAGCCCCCGTTCACACATAGACGCCGCTTCTACTGCGATCAAAGCGTGGCCGAAAACGTGGCCGATCGTGACAAATCGCAGGAGAAACGAAGTGGAGTCTTTATAAGCGCAGTATGATCGCGGTAGGGTCTTCATGATCGGAGAGCTCTACGCTCTCGCCAAGCTTATTTTGAACATGCTCAAAACAAGCGTAGCGGGATCGTGGCAAACAAGAATCGGGGTAAAGTCGTAAAAAGAGCGTAGTAGAAGCGCCGTAATCGTACAAGCAGCGCAGAAGCATCGTGGAGAGATCTTCGTGATCGTGGTAAAAACGCAGTAAAAGCGTAGTACCGTCGGGAACTTATCAAGTATACGCTCCTACAACGCTCCCACTACGTTCTTACTACGTTCCCACTACGATCTCTCTACGTTCCTGACGATCCTACAAAGACCTATAATGACCTTACGCCGATCATACCACGACCTATCAGGCGGCAGTTTGTTTTTATAGCACTGATATTTGACCAAGCATCATCTGTCAACTACACGTAAAGGGTGACACTATACTTGACTATCATTTGCAGTTGAGACTTCGAACTTTCACATCTTGTTACAGTTACAATTGAAAATGCCCCGTAACCCCCGTGGTAAAGTTTGGACAGAAGAGAAAAATATGTTTCAAACCAAAGATATATATACATCATCGCCAAAATCGTACTAGAAGCGTAATAGAATCGTAATATGATCGGCACCACCGTAGCGATATCGTCGTACAGTCATCTAGGTCTGCGTAGCGTCGTAGTCTGATTTTGAATGTCGTAGCGGCAGCGTAGCGTAAACGCAGTAAACGCGGCCGCTGGTCGGCAACGGTCTACGTAACATCGTAGTAGAAGCGTGTTAGCAGCGCGTTTGACGTAGGGGCATCGTAGTACGGTCGTAATGAAGACCATAATTTGCCAAATTGCTCGATTTAGACGCCGATCGGCTCCGATCCGCCCCGATCCAAAACTTTTTCAGATCGTGGCTTGATCGGGATGATCGTCGTAAAGTCGCAGCTCTGTGTGAACGGGGGGTAAACACTGCTCAGTAGAGTTCAAACTCCATGGTAGTTTTATGCAGTAAGAGAGATCTGCCCTTTGATGTAAAATGGAATAAATGGAACTCATACAGTTTATGACACAATTTAGAATACATTAAAGTATTCTTAACATTATATTAGACCAAAATAAAGTAAATGAAAACATTGTTTTCATGTACATTTCCAATGTAAGTAAACAAAAGTGATTTCTGTTCATCAGTACTTCATTGTCTTTGAATATTTTTCCTGGAGAAATATGGCAGATACCCTATGTTGAAAATAAACAAGTAAAATTCAATATGTACACCTTTATGTGAAAAAAATTCTCAAAGTTTAAAAAAAAAATAAATAAGAAAAAGTTTAGAGTTTCCTTAAGGCTGCACGTGCATTAATACATTCAAATACAGAAATTTTCTATAATTTAAATGAAACTTTACAAAAGTCTTTAGAAGATTATTTTTCTTTTTTTAAATTTCTCTCTAGAGTAATGAATATATCAAACTATATCATGAGACAGCAATACCCGCACTAAGGTGTTTGCCTCTAAATGCACACTTCTTCATATTGGGCTTACCAAGGAAAAAGTCAAAATAATTCTATAATTTACACAGTACATGTATTCGTCAAATCGAGCATAAAATGCTCAGGTGACCATGTGACCTATGAGCCTCTTATAGGTATTTCCTTTACTTAATTCATTACCAGTCTGAAATAACAGAATTTAATTAATTTAATTAATGACGTAAATTAGGTTTTGATAAAAGGGGGAAAAATTTATTTTGGCCCATAATTGGAACTTTTTAAATTTATTTTCTCAACAACAAATAATATTATTTTAGTGCAAAGCGTTTTTGATGAATTTATCAAAATGTGCAAACTTTTTTTTAAATATTTGATTACCGGTAGGCAAAAACCTTGAAAAGCCATACCCAATCAATTTTGTCACCCCCCTCCCAACACACACACACAATTTGCCTGTTTTTATGCCCCCCGTAATCGAAGATTCGGGGGCATATAGTTTTTGCTCTGTCCGTCCGTCTGCCTGTCTGTCTGTTTGTCCGCAAAAACTTTAACCTTGCCCATAACTTTTGATTGGTCGGAGCTATGGCTTTCATATTTCACATGTGTATTTCTTGTGACAAGACCTGTCTTTGAGTACCATCACATTTGACCTATTGACCTTGACCTTGGAGTTTGACCCACTTTTGCAAAATTTTATGACACTTTAACCTTGGCCATAACTTTTGAACAGTTGGTGCTTGGGCTTTCAAACTTCACACGTGTAATTCTTTTGACAAGATCTTTCTTTGGATACCAACACCTTTGACCCATTGACCTTGACCTTGGAGTTTGACCTACTTTTGAAAAAACTTTAACCTTGGCCATAACTTTTGACCAGTTGGTGCTATGGCTTTCATACTACACATGTGTATTCCTTGTGACAAGACCTTCCTATGGATACCAATAACTTTGACCTTGACTTTGGAGTTTTACCTACTTTTATTTTGAAAAATTTTAACCTTGCTTATAACTTTTGATTGGTTAAAGCTATGGCTTTCATATTTCATATGTGTATTCCTTGCGACAAGACTTTTCTTAACTACCAACATCATATTTGACCTTGTCCTTGGAGTTTGACCCACTTTTGCAAAATGTTATGAGACTTTAACCTTAGCCATAACGTTTGAACAATTGGTGCTTGGGCTTTCAAACTTTACATGTGTATTTATTGTGATAAGACCTTTTTTTAGATACCAACAACTTTGACCCTTTAACCTTGACCTTGGAGTTTGACCTACTTTTGAAAAAACTTTGACCTTGGACATAACTTTTGAACAGAGCTAGGGCTTTAATCTTCACATGTGTAAGCCTTTTGAAAAGACCTTCCCTTGGATACCAACAACTTTGACCTTGACCTTAGAGTTTGACCTACTTTAATTTTGAAAAAACTTTAACCTTGCCCATAACTTTTTAACAGTTGGTGCTAGGGCTTTCATATTTCACATGTGCATTCCTTGTGACAAGATCTTCCTCTGGATACCAACAGCTTTGACCTTGACCTTGGAGTTAGACCTACATATGACTACATCAAATTAAATAAAAGTGCATCAAGGATAAGATTGCTTGACATTTCATTCATGAATTTGGGTCAACCCATGTACCCTCCTAGAATTAGGAATGAAAATCATTCAAAGAGATGGACCATTAAACTATTTGTATATATTCACATTTTTTTATGTCAAAACAAAGTATTAGTTTGAATACATGAACAAACAGAGGTCTGGGAAGGGAAAGGGGCGAGAAGGAGTTATCTCTTTTCATCTTAATTGTTGAAAACTCTTAAAATGAATGTTAACCTGAAATCCGACTTGTGCGTCCTCATTATTTTAAAATGGTGGTGTCTCCATATGAGTGAAAAATTCCCGAGAGGGACATTTAACAACAAACAAACAAATGACTTAAAAACACAATATACATGTAAATGTTTATTAGTCAACAGATATACTTCTGGTCATATCTCTAGTTCTCCCTTGAATTGGAAATGATGATATAAATATTTTAAGAATGATTAAGAGTTGAAAAGGTTGTACATCTTAAAATTGACTGTTAGCTCTGTGGTTGAATTAGCTATACCAGTTTAACTTATTTTGCTACTCAAAGCACCTTGATTAACTATTTTTATAATCATACTGTTTTCTGAAATTGCAGTTTTTTCAACATGGATACAAGTCATATATTTTCAGCTTCTGAAAACAATGCATGAAAAAAAAAACTGCTTTTCAAAAATTTCCAAGTACTTGTGATCGTAAGTTTTTAACTCACTTGAGTTTTTCTGTTTTTTCTGATCACATTTTGTCTGTCATCCATCTGTCCGTCTGTAAACTTTTCACATTTTTGTCTTCTTCACTAGAACCACTGGGCCAATTTCAACCAACCTTGCCACAAAGCATCTTCGGGTAAAGGGGATTCAAGTTTGTTCAAATGAAGGGTCACACCCTCTTTCAAGGGGGATAATCAAGAATTAGTGAAAAAATAATGGCTTCTTTTAAAAATCTTCTTAACCAACCTTGCCACAAAGCATCTTCGGGTAAAGGAGATTCAAGATTGTTCAAATGAAGGGTCACACCCTCTTTCAAGGGGGGGGGGGGATAATCAAGAATTAGTGAAAATTTGGTGGTATCATTTAAAAAAAGTCTTATCAAGAACCACTGACTAGGCCCAAAAAGTTGAAACTTTTTTTACATAGACTTAGTGTAGATTCAAATTTGTTTAAATTATGACCCACTGGGGTAGGGTGAGGCCACATATGGGGATCTAAAGATTTACATAGAAAAATGCAGGAGTTTTTTTCCATCATAAATCTTCTTCTCAAGAACAGCAAAGGCATTATTGTCCCCTGTTTTCACGAAAGGGACCTAGGGGACATTAATCTCATTTGTCTGTCAGACTGTCCGTTTGTCTGTCTGTCCGTCCGTCACAATAAATTTAACCTTGGTCATAACTTTTGAATAATTAGAGATAGGGCTTTCATATTTCACATGTACATTACCTACAAGAACTTTCTAAATACATGTATACTATGATTTTTGAACCCATGACATTGACCTTGAAGTTTGACCTACTTTTCCAAAAAAAAAAAAATTGACATTATTT